ATGTTATTAGTTTCAGTAAATGGAAGAGCAGGTCACTGTTCCCTTTCGGTGCTGGTTCTAAAACACTGAAAATTAAACGAGCATTAAATCGGAGAGCACGCTGGATCATTAATTTTAAGAAGGCCTAGGAACTCATATCCTGAGTACCAGAGGTTTTTCTCCTCTTGTGCAGCTGGATGCTTCGGTGCATCGGCCCCAAGCCGAGAGATCTTGAGCCGAAGGTCGGAGTTACGAGCGGCGAAACCTCGAAAACAAGGACTCATCGAAACCGGAAACCGCGCATGAAAAGTCTCTGCCACTCAGGGTACGAAACTCAAGCATTATCCTTTATTTCCAGATTGAACCGAACCCTGCCCCAGGCAGAGAGATCTTGAGCCGAAGGACGGAGTTACGAGCCGCGAAGCCTCGAAAAAAAGGACTCACCGAAACCGGAAACTGCGCATGAAAAGTCTCTGCCACTCAGGGTACGAAACTCAAGCATTATCCTTTATTTCCAGATTGAACCGAACCCTAGAACGGAATCTATTCCCATGCCAGATCTTTTTTCCAAAATGGTCGCAAAGTTCGCTATTCTTTTGTCTTAATGATGATTGGCCCTCGATGCCTTGTTTCAAAGTAAAAGTTCAGATGCAATCGAAGCAAAGAGGGCTGAACATGTAAACAAAAGAAAAGTAATATTGCCTCCACTTCAGAATGCGGTGTATTTTCGTTTTTCCCAGCGCTAACTAAATTATAGAAATTTTTCGTAGCCTGTTTGTCACTGCTTCTTTTCCAGCATGTTTACGTTATTGTTCAGTATAGTTTTTAGGCTCATTCATCCGTGGCTAAGAGAAAAGTTCACCTTTAAAACAGTGACGTCCTGTTGTCACAAAAGGTTCGTTCCGACCAATGACGTAAATTCAAACGACTGAAAAGGCGTAGTCAACCGACAAAAATAGCTTACACTGCACCAAGCCAAACCGTCTTGTTAGAAACAAATCAGCTAATGCCATCTTCTCTTCCTATTTTACAAAATACATTTGGACATGCCTATCATTTTTTAACCTGTAGGTTCGGCCGATTAGAAAGAGTTTAAATCGTGGTTTATTAGTTGACCTAAAAGCTAATAGCACTAACGCTGTGATTCAAAAGAGCAGAGTTTAAAAAGAGGAGAAGTGCGACGTCACGTTACCATAGTAGCAAAATTTCTGGAATACGGAGCAACGACGACGGCGACGGCAACGAGAACGCAAAAAAACAAAAGCGTTTTTAATGAATAGAGTGGTTTTCGTTTGAGTGTCGTAAAACCAAAACCAAAGTAATTACTCTGGCCAATCACATAGGACACAGACAATACATTGAACCAATCAAAACTCGAAGTAATTACATGTGGCTGACGCAAAGCGCGGGAAAATGCATGCGAGCGCGTCACAATTGGCTTTGGTTTTACTTCTGATTGGATGAAAAGGTGGCGCGAATCTTTTAAGCCAATCGCATCGTGTAGAAAGTGCAAAACTAATTACTTTTCGACACTCAAATGAAAACCGCTCTATTAGCAAAATAACAAAACTGGACGTGCATCACGCTTTTTCGTACATTTCTTAGCCGTCGTTACAAGACTGCGACATGAAACTTCCTACTTCATGCACCCGCTTTTAATTTATGGACTCGGTGAACAACAGAACACTAACATTTTCTTTTTTGTGAAAGGTTTGAACCTTTTTCTTTTCTTAGATACGGTTCTTTATTACGGTCCTTTCGGATTCAACCCCAGATAATTTGATAAATTAAATGATCGATGAAGTTTGAAACAGTGCGAAATTCACTTTCTAAGTGACGTTTTCGGTTTGTTGTCATCCAGAAATTTTTCTTCCATAGCAACGGGACGTAATGACTTCTCCTCTCTATTAGCCATGCAAATTACGTTTTGATATTTTGATAATCCTGAAAACAATTTTGTAGTACGGTATAATACTTCAATTTGACATCAATTGACTCGCCATCGGAGATGAGGGTAAATTAGGCACTGTATGTTTTTCCTACGTGTACTTAGCTTTTTTGTCATTTTCCTGTGACAACGTTAAACGCCACTTGCACAACTCCCATAATGCACCTCATTTGACTCCGTTGTTTATAGTACAGGGCGATTCATCTCGTTATCGAGATATTTCGGGATGACGTTTTTATGGTTACATGCAAATGCGGTAAAAAAAATGGTCAATCTTGATGTTCGGCCGTTATCTGTAGAAAACGAAGGGCTTTTGATATGCAATTTCACCCCATAGTAGTTTCAATCTTTTTAAAAACGCGTGAGAAAGACCATGGAGATAGGTCCAGCCGATTGCTGGAAAGAAGGATTTGATTAGCATGTATCCAAGCGCTCTTGGTAGCGGTTTTGTAAACATTTTTTTGGTCTGCTTTAACAAATTAGCGAATAATTTCTTAACGGCTCAATAGATTTGTTAAAACCAGTGATTTAAGATTCTTGAGATTAACCGTCCTTTTTCTATGACCTTTCAGTTTCTCACTAGTTCAAACCCACTTTGATTACTGCAGCCTAGTCTGGGGTAATTGTGGCACATTTATTATCTAACAAGCTACAAAAACTACAAAACCGTGCTGCACGAATAACAACTTCATCAAACTATGACGTAGTTGTCTATTCCTTGCCGTTTCACAAACTCAACTGGAAACACTTGAAATCTCAACGTCAAATTCAGAACGCCTTAATGGTTTTCAAGTCTTAAAAACGGTTTGGTTCCCGAATATCTGACGTCTAAATTTGTTAAGCGAAATGAATCAAACGATTCTCTGAGGGTCTCGGTAAACAAACTTGTTGTCCCCAGTGTCCAAGAAAACATCTTTAGTTATAGTGGCCCAACCCTTTGGAACAGCTTACCCTGTAAAATTAGAGAGTCTGGTTCATTAAATCAATTTAATCGCCTTCTTTATTATAATTTAAAGAAAAAACGGCATTCATGGAAATCAGGTTTTTAAGTGGCATATTGTTGTAAGTTAATATAATGTTAGGATTATAGGATTTTTAGGTTTTAGGATGTTAGTCATTTTATTAGAATTTATTGTACCTAGCTGATGAATTTCTTTACCGTGTATAAATAATGATTTACGATTAAGGGCCTATGTAGATGGAAGTGGGGACCCCAGGAAGGTGAGGTAACCCGCTTAAGTGGGGTAAAAAATGACCCTCCTTTACATGCAATAAAATGATGATGCAAAGCCACCGCCAAAGGGAATTTTGCGCGGATTTGATGTATCACGAATCCAACCCCGGGCAGGCGGGTTACCGCACCTTGACACGTTTACACGGCAAAATTTGACCCCGGCTGAGGGAACCCGGTTTGGCAGACCCCACCTATCACTGTAAACTCCGTGATCAAATTAAAATGAGAGATTATATGGACAGGCGGGTTACCCCCATGAGCGGGTTACCTCACCTACCTGGGGTCCCCTTTAAGGGGTCCCCTACCTCCACGTAAACAGGCCCTAAAAGATTAAAGATTGTTTGCCCCCCACAATTTTGCATAAGCCTGTTTGTTTCAGTTTCTCTTGGGACGGCTGTAATACCCAGGGCAGGAGAAAAGAAAAACACAGGTGAAGCAAATAATTTTTTTTGGTGGGTTGCGGGCAACCTCGTCCCCAGGGCACTTTTCCCAAAGCCAGGGAAAGGCGCCCTGGGGACGAGGATGAACCTCAGGGGTATAAAGCCCAGCAACTATGCAAATTTACTAAAACAAGAAAAGCGTTTACATAAGAAAAGAGTAGAAGTCGTACACAGCAGGACAGATAAGCATACAGATAAGGTTTTGCAAACTGTATCAGATAAATTGGTTTTCTTGTGGAATTCAAATTTCTGGGCAAATTGGAAAAATCATGAAAAGCAATGGTTGCAGGGATATCGAATTAAACGTTAATCACGAGAAGAAAGTATAACAGACTTGGCTTGCCTTCGTGGCAAGCATTTGTTTCCACGCAAGTTTGTTGCGAAAGTTGGAACGAAAACAAGGAAACACGCACGGAAACGCTTGCTACGCGGACAGAGAATTTGATATCATGCTGGGTTCAGTAATTTTGATTAAAACTGGCATGAAATAATCTCCTACTCAGATTTTATCTTGAATTTCTATTCATATTTACCTCCTTGCGCGCCTAATCCGGAATGCTGTTGGCGTGATTCAGACAAAACAGAGCTGAGCGAGTGTTTGATGCTCCGAACGCTGCATTCACTGTGCAGTTGTGATAAACCCTGTTTAGTCTGGGGCATAGTGAAGAAATGGTCCAGACTTTGGCTCGTTATATACTCTACCATCTTGTGATTAGCGAAGTAGTAGAAAAGTTGTAAACTCTCCTTTTCCTTGAAATTTGCCAGACGGGCCCTGTCGCCAGTGTAACCACACTCTGGCGTGCGTGCATGACCATTTCATTAGACAAAATATACATATGTTATGAATATGACCCCAACGCTATACAAAGGAATTTAAGACCCTTTCCTTACTGTTAATAAAATATTTTTGAGTCTTTAATCAAAGAAATTGAACAATAATAACTTTGATCAAAGGCCTAGTAATAAAATAAACCTGGGCTACTGTTGGGGGTTCGAGCAGCTAAGTCCTGTAACAATATTGGGTACAAAGTCTGCCGTCTGCACGAACTGCGTAGCAGTGTTGCCAGGCGCTCTGAAGTATTAAATGGCCGCAAGAAAGAACGGGGGAGCGCCGCCCGGGAACTTCCCTTTTTCATGAATGGGCCTTCGAAGAAATAAGATTTACTTCCGGGGCATTTCAAAAGAGAAACCATACGTTATTAGGGGTTCGTCACGCGTTCCTGCCCCACGTGGGAGGCTCCCAACGTTATGCTCTCGTGCAACCAATCGGTCAAAGAATTTAATGTCACGTGATTTCAAGGAGCTAAATAATATAGGGTGGAGCAGATAAAGACGCTATTTCGAAGAGCTATTCCTGCAACTGCAAAGTTTTCTCGGTCTCACTTTAGCTCTCTTCAACATGCCCAAGGAGTGGAGTAATGGTCTGTGTAGCTGCTTGAATGATATCCCATTGTGCTTGACAGGCTACTGTGCTCCTTGCTACGTTTTTGGCAAGACGGCCGAGGCGGTTGGCGATGATTGTTTGTTGTGCGGTGTAGTGACCTTCATCCCACTTGCGAATCTTTGGTTCATGACTCAAATTCGAGGCAAGATTCGTGAACAGAAAGAAATTGATGGCTCGTTCGTCAACGACCTCTTGATGACTTGTTGCTGTGGTTTATGTGCCCTTATTCAAGAAGCTCAAGAAGTTGGAGTGAAGGCCCCTTTCGGAAACTCGATGGCTCGGTCTTAACTTTGGACCATTTCTTATTCCTCCCACCCGTTGTTGAACTCTTGAGACAGCTACGAAGTTGACCTCTTGGACGAAAGTTTGGTTTATTTTTGTTTGATTTTTCTAGGATTTGTATTCTGTTGTAAGAACACTTCTTGTCGACTCCCGTACTTCGAGTCTTCGTTGCACAATTGAATCAGCTGATTGGAAACACTAAATTAAGCTTATGTCTTATTCTGCACAAGAGAGCAACTTGGAACTTTAAACGACTATTTGAACTTTAAAAGACACTTATGTAGTTGAGTTTACCATATTGTGGAAATCTTTATCGGTAGATTATTATTTAGAAGAGATTATTATAATTCATGTGGAAAGTTCAACGCTCGAGGGGCGTTCAATGTTCGCAAGCTTTCAGCACTGAAACTACACAGTGACTACATCAATTGAAGTGGAAACATAGAGTAATATATTAGTATTTTGTTAATTTTTCCATTCTAGATCCAGCAAGTTTGGAAGTTGAACGGTGTGCATTAAAAGGGGTTCTTGAATTGAACACCAAAAATTTTCGTGTGGTTTGATTTGTGTGTTATTGATATGATATTGTTTAATTAAGGTTTGCAGCGGGCAGCATCGCGGCACGTTTTGTGGAGCTGGAATATGAAACTAACCAAAAAACGGCGTATTATGTCAGGAATCAATAATAATGCATGGTTAGCGATATTTATGCCTAATAATCGGAAAATCAGTGGCGTGTCCTTCAAAATTCTCTCACTATCGTTTTCGACCAAGCGGGTGGTACGTGGCACTTCTTTGTACAGAATAGCCGTCCTCTCATCTTACAGGGAAACTCCCAGTGTCGTACAACGTGTGAGAAGGTTGATTTCCACGAAAAGCTACTGATCCGCCTCTTCAAAGTTGTAAATATAGAATTTCGAACTGTAAACTATCTCATGAAAATTTTACATAAATGTTGGACCTGATCCCATACTCAATGAAATAGACTCAATATCGTGCTGCTGTATGTAAATTAAGCAGCCCGTTTTACAAAGGGAAATAGCGACTTTTCTCAAAATGTTATTCATTGAATAAATTAGAGATGTGACAGCAGTATTTGAACTTTGCAATTCCTAACGTGACAAGGAGTGAATAATGATTACTGTGCTATCAAATTCATATTTTCACTTGGGAATAGCGAATGTAGGCGGTTGTAGGTTAGGTTTCAAACATGGTACTCAAGGCCTACACAGCAAAAGTACTCAGCAAGTACTGCGTAAATACCGATACTCAGCAAGTTGGAATGGCATTATAAGGTTGTCATGGAAAAGCTCTACAATGATAAAACAAAATATTCATTTATCTTTTGTCTTCAAATTTCGAAAGTAGATTTCTGAAATAATTACCTCACCAAATTTACAGCATTTATCTCGATGGAAAGTCTAAATTTTATTCAACTATATGATTCCTTGGTTTAAATGTCTGCCACTTCTAAATTCTAAATATTGGCTCTATCACTGAAATTGATTAAGAGTTGTACAAGTTTTTAAAACCAAGAAATAACAGGCACTTGCAATTTTCAGTAGTGATAAAGATGGCTTAGACTCCTTTGCAGCCGCTTGGGCCGGAGTTATGCAATGCACCCCATCCCCACAAGTGGCTTCAGATCGAAGAGACTAAGGATGGTTCAGTTGACTAACAAAAGGTTGATTATTAAATACCCAATAATTCCCCTAAAATGTACCCTGACAAATCTGTGTGTGTCTTGGGCTTTATTTGACCCCGAAAGGAGGCCAGACTCCAACACAGTGCAAAAACATCTGTTTCTTTTACATTTTATTAGATATTTCTTTGCACATAACCCTAAAGTGATCTACATTTGTGGGTAAAAATACTGGCTTCTTTCTATCCTGAACACCCTTTAAAGCAAGTCAGACCAAAATCTGTAAGTTCTACCCTTTACTATGGCATTCTTGTCACTTTCATAGGGGCACCATTTGTTAATAGAAGGTATACAAAAGGGGTACCTTTTATATCCGTGGTGAATCCAGGGGAGGAGCCCAGGGGGGCCCAGGCCTCCCCCTTATTTTTAGGTCAAACTAAGGCCCAAAGGGAAGAAAACAAAATTTTTTGAGACTGCCCACGCCCACACCACCCCACACCAGTCTCATTACGCGGTGCGCGCCACCCGTATCCTCCCTCTCTCCCCCTCCCGGCCTCGCTCCCTCTGTTGGGGGTGGCCCCCCCCTTTTTTATAAAGGGTTGGGGGTGGGGCTCTGGGCCCGGGCCCTTTTTTTTGAAACTTTTTTTGGCCCCCCCCCCCCCTGCCCTGGGCTTTCCAGCCTTTCCATGACCTGTATGAACCCTGCTTCATATTATTAATGATAATGATGATTATAAATACTCAAGAACTCAAATTATCTGTCTTAGAGGTCCATGGACACATTTTTAAGTGTTTGGTTTACTGTTTCAAAGACTACATTATACTGTTGACAAAAGTACATTAAATAAAATAATACTAAGGTTACTTTAGTAATACACTACGTGTAGTTAACATATGAAAGTTAAAATGTTCATAGTTACATACTGTACAAAAAAGGGAGATTAAATACACAAATGAATCTTTTGTCTTGTGATTCAAAAAGCTAAATGATTATGTAATGTATACAAAAATATATGGCTGTACAAGCATTGGCCACCTTCTTTAGTACGACCGTCTGATAACTTCCACCATGCTTAGTTAATGAAATAATGTTATAGTATGCTTCTGGTGATGATTTATACAATACCAAGGAAACCCAGCTCATGGCATTCAATTTATAACCTGATAGCCTTGATGGTACTTGTAAGTTTACAAAAAAACTGATTAAGCTCAGCCACTATGACTTCAGTTGATACATCGTAAAGTAACCTCAAAATGTGCCTAGTTTTGGTGGTGGTCTCTTTATGAAAGTTGTTTTACATTGAGTTTCACCTGTGGCTGATTCAAATTTTCTTATCAATTTCATTCCGTAGTGAGTGAGTCTTTGGAGCTAATTCTTTGAGTTTCAGCTTTTTCAGTGTTATTGGCTGGCAATAAAAAACACAACTAAATTAAACAAAAAAATAACTTTTTTAGTTATTAACTGATCTACCACACGAAACAAGAGGTTGCGAAATTTTAAGTGCACATCCAAGTGAGCTAAATCTAACGCCATCCGCATACGCTCTTATTTTTGTCACTTTTTCAATCTTGGCAAGGTTTTTTGTACACATTTAAGTGTAATGCTGCTGCAATGGTACTTTGTTTTAAACCCTCACACTAACCAAGGTCACTGATGTTTTTGTTCCCCCTCAGGTACTCAGAACTTTTTTATCTGACCTCGAAATTGATTGTCCCAATCATGAGTGCTAATTCCTGCCCCTGGTCTCAAAGCCTGGGGAGTTTACAGTTTTGGCATCTCGGAAAGTCTCAGATTTTATCATTCCTTAAGCCTAGGTATAGCCCCACCCTTTTCCTTCTAACAATTTTTCCTTTTTCAGAGAGATGGTACAGCTTCGTGTAAGCTGTCATTACTCACCCTTCCTACTCCACTTCATCTATTACGTACCTCAGTCTAATTCAATTCACAGCTGTGATGACACACCTACCATTGAATTCCTCCAAGCCCATGCTTGTTCATTGCATGGCATGACATTTTAACTAAAACTGGAAGTAAACTAGTGCAATATTCTTGTAAACACCTCGCTGTATACCTCCCATGTAGCAGCAGTGCATTTAAATGAGAAATATTTCAGAATGACTAAATCAACTTTTTACTATCCCTGCCTGAATTCATGGAAGTAGTTTAGGTACATAATGAGTGCTGGAGGAAGAGGAAGTCCATGGAGTCTTTTGCTTCCTTGGGGTCCAAGGGTCTTTCTGATCACGAGACGACAGAGATCTTGGAGAGGCCTTGGGTTTGTAGCTAAAAGACAAAAAGTATAGTGAGCTGGCTGTTGGACATTAAGATCATAAGGTTATAATTTGAGCATCGGCAGCTGCAGAAATCTTTCATTTTTTTTAGTGACAAGTGAAAATGCTAATTTATTAATTGTGCCCTTTTGAACAGTGGAAGTGAGCCAGTATGTATCAGTATGCTTTACATAATTATGAGGCTGAGTGGTATTTTCCAGAAATTATGCCAAATGGCTGCCAAGCCCTGAGTACATCTGACGTTACTGTGGAATCAATGGAACAATGAACATGTGAAATATTTTAAGAACATTAACATGATTAACTGTGTTAGACATGATGAAGATCAGGATGTGCGAGCAACCCAATGCCTGATTAGCTGTTGCTTTGCCACACAATGACATTCCAGAAATATTACTGGTGTTCATGGTTCTGTGAGTTTCACAGTAAGTGATTCAGGTTAGGAAAATGAATGATTTAAGTTCAGTTCATTCTGCATAATTACCCAAACTGGAACTTGATTTGTAAACTCAGTTTCCAAACCTTAATCACTAAATTAAACTTCACAGTCATTCAGCACATGGTATGGCCATTTAGTGTTCTTCCAAATATGCCTGGGCTGGGTTGTTCAAAGCTGGGTTAAGATAACCCAGGGTTAGCGCAAAATTTGAATTCAGAGTTGATGATTGGCTACTCTAAAAAGATTAGGGAAAATTGTCCGAGAAAATGCTTTTGATGATGAGAAAAAGAGACCAGGGTTAAAACTTAACCCTAGGTTAGCGCTAATCGGCCTTTCAACAACTGGGCCCTGGTGCTTAAATTATTATGCAGGTGCAGAGACTGGTATGAAAAGAAAATGTGGACCTATGGGAACTTAGAGTAAGAAAGGCAAAAACAATTTGCTCATCACCTTTTGAATCTTTTTACAATGGCAAATTGACTTTATCAACCTAGTTAATAAAACACAATTTCTTTTATTATGTGGAAAACTAATTTTTGTTATTTTGGATCAAATTACATACCAATGACTGCTGTGGTTGCACATTATTAGTTTCAAATTTTGTACTTCACAAGTTCAATGAGTATAGGTAATAGCATGATTAGTAGTGATATTTGGCATGAATACCATGAAAGATATTTCAAAATTGTTATACGTAATTTCACGAGCTGTTGGGCGAGTGAAATTTGAGACAATTTTGAAATATCATGAGTGGTATTTATGCCAAATATCACGTACAAATCATGCTATTATTTGTTTATACTACTACCCACAAAAGGTTTGTAATTTTCACATGTAAGCTGAAATACCACTGCTCTAAGCCGATCAAATTGCAGAAATTTCTCATGTGGTAGTATAAGTCAACTAATAAACTTACGTATTTCAATAAACCGTGGAGGTGCTTTCATGTTTTCTTTGCAGTTCATTAGAGGAGCAAAAGATACAGGCAAAACATCCTCCATGTCCCAGTCAGTTTCCCTGATGCGTCGCAGTTTGCACAGCTGTAAGTTTAAGGGTATCACACATGTCAGCATTTTCATCTGGCTCACTAGGCGTTAAATTAAACCCTTGCTGATGACTTTCTTTTACCTACATCAATACCCGGGGGGTTACTTGGGTTAATTTTTGCTGGGTATGTGCCGCTGGCCTCTCAGAGCCCCTGCCCCATTATAGTCTATTTTGTGGCCAATTGTAGACCCATCTTAGTCACTTTTGGGCAAATATGTAATTTCCGCGATCCCAACTTAGTCACTTTCTATTTATATATCTACTTTATCATATCCTTTAAAATAAGTCATCCTAAAATGAATTGACACATATTTTAATAAATTAAATGAAGAACACTTTACTTTTCACCTACAGTTAACATTTGATACGTTTCCTAACCGTAAATATGAACAACTTTCTTACCCCAAAAATCCAAACATGTGCAAACCCATTCTAGTAACTCTATTGAAAATGCGACCCCATTATAGTCAATCCAGTCACGAAAATGCGACCCCATCCAGCGGCACATCCCCATTAGCCTCTTATAAGGAAGTGCCCCCCCCGCCCCGCCCAGGTATGAATACTGATACTGTTTTAATTTGTTCCCTATTTAATGTAGTGTGGCTGAGCAGTTAGTTAGAGCGCTAAACTTGCAATTTGGAGGCTCCGAGTTCCCTCCCTGACTGCTAGCTAGATTTGTTCTTGGTAGTCCCAAGTTCAAATCCTTGATCATGCTTGCAACTAGCCAGCTTGCCTCAGTTGGGATTCTTATTAACCTTGTTAAGTTTAATTTGAATTATTTGTTTCAGACATTTGCTTAGCCCCACGCACTGACATTAGTGCTATAAATACTGCCAAGGGCAAACAAAAAACATAATTATTTACACATGTACAATTCAGTTTAGTGACTTTACTGGACGGCATTAACGGACAGTCGATTCAGACGTTACTGAGGGAGTGATAACGACTCGAAGTAATCGGATGAAATTCAGGCTATTGTTTCATCTCATCAAAGCATAATGAACGAGAATGTATTACTCATTTTTCACACTTGTTTCATTTCATCCATGCTTATTGAACGAGGTTAATTTTAAACAAGGATTTTTATTAAAGATCCTCAAAGATCTGCACTAGGATCTTCATGCAAATCTTCGAGGATCTTTAAAGATCCTTGAAAGATTTTCACAAGGAATGTCACAGGCATTTTAAGTTTCGAATTTCTGAGGAGTGGCCGTATTAATGGGGTGAAAAAAAAACAAGGTTTTTTACAATTCAATGTATGCCCATTTTGCGAGGCCAGAAAAAGTGGCTGTAATAACAAGTGAACATTTTACCAAGGTGGCCGCAAGGCAGGGTTCCACTGTACCGTCTTAAAATATATATAAAAATTTGGGGGGGCTGTGATGCGCAGGGATGCCAACAAAAGCTACCAGGCCTTGGTTGTTCAAACGTTGGATAGTGCTATCTAGTGGATAAGTATTAGGGAAACCAATAATAGCACTATCCAGTGGATAGAGATTTATCCGGTGGATAACGCTATCCAACGTTTGAGCAACCGGGGCCAGGTGTTGAATGCAAAAAATAATTCACAAAACAGAATTTCTTACTTTGTCACGGAAAGGCATGACCAAAATGCCACCAACCCGCACTAGAGACTTCATGTAATCCTCATATTCAGCAGGACAACCTGCACCACAGTAAACACGATCGTATTGTCTGTAATGAGTGTTCAAAGATAAACAATTTCCAACAACAAAAAGTGGTTCACTAAAGTTGGTTCCCTGGTAAAAAGGGTTTGTCTTTAAAAAGTTGGCAAGTTTCTCCTCTGCAAACTGTACCACATCTTCAAATAATTCAATTCCATGATTTATGCCATTCGAACCGATGATTAAGCCAACCATAGTAGACAAGTAGCCTGTCCCACTTCCAAGATTCAAAAATGAGAGTCCTTCCTTAAGCTCAAGAGACTCCAGGACTTGAGAATAAATACAAGGAGCTGAGAGGTGTATATTGCCATGCTTCCAAGCTAAGTCTTTGTAAGCATGCTTCTCTGTTCCCTCCGGAAAATACTCTGCTCTATCCACGACACGGAAAACACGTTCCACTTCTGGCGATCTGATATAGCTTGCTTCTTTAAGATTGTCAACTAGTTCATCAATGTCTTGTCCTGCACTGACAGCTCCACCCATAGTATTAATAAAGCCAGGAAAATCAGAAAATAGAATTACGAATTTATGACGTTTAAGTCCTTCTTTCTCGTCTAATAAAATAATGTTGATTTTCAAAATACTTGTCAGACTGCAGGAAAACCAAAACAGAAAATATCATAAATAAACTAAAAATACATAATAAAGAAGTGTTTACATTGAGCAGGGTGATGGGTCCTCATAAGCTGTCACTGTTTTTCTCTGTGCACTGTTGACTTGACCGGGGATTAGTTGTTCTTTTAGATAGGAGAATGTAGTTGTGTGCTGTTTTATTTATATATATGTTAGAGCTAGGTCAAATTAAATTCAGATTAAATTTTTTAACCTAGTGGTTGAATCTCAATTTCCTTAAGAAACAAAGGAAATCTAGAATCAAACTAGGTTAAAAAATCTAACCTGAATTTAATTCTAACCTGTAATATATACATAAATANGATGATTAAGCCAACCATAGTAGACAAGTAGCCTGTCCCACTTCCAAGATTCAAAAATGAGAGTCCTTCCTTAAGCTCAAGAGACTCCAGGACTTGAGAATAAATACAAGGAGCTGAGAGGTGTATATTGCCATGCTTCCAAGCTAAGTCTTTGTAAGCATGCTTCTCTGTTCCCTCCGGAAAATACTCTGCTCTATCCACGACACGGAAAACACGTTCCACTTCTGGCGATCTGATATAGCTTGCTTCTTTAAGATTGTCAACTAGTTCATCAATGTCTTGTCCTGCACTGACAGCTCCACCCATAGTATTAATAAAGCCAGGAAAATCAGAAAATAGAATTACGAATTTATGACGTTTAAGTCCTTCTTTCTCGTCTAATAAAATAATGTTGATTTTCAAAATACTTGTCAGACTGCAGGAAAACCAAAACAGAAAATATCATAAATAAACTAAAAATACATAATAAAGAAGTGTTTACATTGAGCAGGGTGATGGGTCCTCATAAGCTGTCACTGTTTTTCTCTGTGCACTGTTGACTTGACCGGGGATTAGTTGTTCTTTTAGATAGGAGAATGTAGTTGTGTGCTGTTTTATTTATATATATGTTAGAGCTAGGTCAAATTAAATTCAGATTAAATTTTTTAACCTAGTGGTTGAATCTCAATTTCCTTAAGAAACAAAGGAAATCTAGAATCAAACTAGGTTAAAAAATCTAACCTGAATTTAATTCTAACCTGTAATATATACATAAATATACATAAATAAAACAGCACACAACTGCATTCTCTTCTCTAAAAGAGCATCTAATCCTCGGTTTTTAAGCTTATATCTTCAGGAAAAATTCTTACGTGTAAGCTCAAGTTTTTGACCGAAACATTTTGTTTATCGACGTGTCAAATTTCTCTAAAGAACTGACCCATTAAATCTACCATTAACTACCTACCTTATTGGCTTATATTAAAGCACTAAGGCTCTCCTTTGGATCATGGGACCATTCTCACTGTTTTATCCCGTAAATTACCTTAAGCTATCTCTTTTTCTCGACGAAACGTCAACAACACACCACTATGTCCACTATTATGGCACTAAGCCAAATGGCAATGTTCTACTTATTCTTGGGGCTAAAAAGAGAAGTTTTCTCAGTTAACTGCGAGAAGAGATGTGGTAATATTACCTTCTTCTCAAAGTGGACACAGTAGTGAAACTAAAAACTATCCTTTATATATCTTTCCAGCGACAAGAATGAAATTTTGCCCCGGCAAACACACACATGAACATTGCATCGCCGAAACAAAACAAACTTGGCAGATAATGTACCGTCTAGTCTAGGGTGCGCAAAAACTGTTCTCCTGGCTACCCAGGGAAAATGTTAAGTCATTCATAGGTAATACAGAACAAATAAGTGAATAAGCAGTTTTTAGTAATGCTTTCGTCTTATTCTTAGATTCAGTTTACTGTAAGCGAAATTACCCCAGAAAAATACCGTAACCCTTCCCTCTACCCACTCTAGAAAGGTTGTTGATAATCACGTGGGTATCATACCCATAAGTCCTTCTGGTCCTTAGCGCCTTTGCAGATGCCGAAGTCTTGATCATGTCTGGGTTACAGCGTCTTGTTCAGAAGGAGGGAACAGGAGGTATTTTCACTTTTTTATGTACAATCAAACCCGTTTTGCAGGTGATTAATTTTTCGATTCTGCTTATTTTAGAGTCACCGAGGAGAGGTCAAAAAGTGGAAGTTCACTACACTGGTATGTATAGCTTAAAAACGCTTCGGATCTTCACAGCTGGGGCTTAAAGCCGAGTTTTACTTCTAATTTTTACAGGAAGGCTAAATAACGAAAACGGAAAAAAGTTCGATTCGTCAAGGGACAAAGGCAGGACTTTTACATTTACCCTTGGAATGGGGGAAGTTATCAAAGGTAAGCTTATATACAAGATGTCGTGCATTTCAAGGAGAAATGATATCCTGGTCACCGTTACAGGGCGGGGTTTAAGGGGTCATGCATGATTAAGGTTGTGCGAAGGCAAGTCTTCAGTTAACGTATTCCATGGTTCAGGGCCATTCCATTTTATTTAATATCCATTCCCGGGAGGGGGGATCTCCCATGATGGGGAAGCTTGTTGTCTCGTTTAGGGGTGTAAAATAATTGTAGGTTTTGGTCTCCCTAATGGTGTTTGGAATGGAAAGTCACTATATCTACTCATTCAGGTATTGTTTAGGGCTGTGCATAAAGAAATTTTCAAAAAATGCTCTGATGTCTGTTTTTCTATGGTTTCGTTAAGGGGTCAGTTTAAGTTTGAGCGACACCCACATTGGTCTCCCTTTAAGGATTTAATTGTAATTTTCTGATGAGCATTCCCATCGCTTTTATATGAGAGTCTTCCTGGATCCACACCTGGGGTAATGGTGGAGGAGGGGACAGTAGAGGTGTGGAACTCCCTTACCGTTAATGACCTAATAAATGCCCCGGGCATCTATTTAATTTCTGGGATCCAAGCAGGGGCATTTAATGGATAGGAGGCATTTAGAAGAGAGAGGCATTTATTCTTATAACTATAACAAGCTCAAAAAAACTAATATGGTTTTGGCAAAAAAAATCAAGAGAGTTTAAAAATAGCAGAATATCCACTCCATCAACTGATATGTCCTGGCCATCTAGTGATCTATATTGCTCTTTCAAATCGCTCAGGGTTATTGGGTTGTCACCATTAGTCTATCCTTACTTTGAATTTGGCATTGAGCAAGATGAAATATATAATGTCCCGTGTAATGTCCCCTGGTATTCTTATTAGGGGACGTTATAATAACGTCCTCTGTTTTTCTTAGTATATATAAATGACCTATATGTAATGCATCAAAGGTCTTAGAGCTAATACTGTTTGCTTGATGACAGTAATATATTTTCTATTGCGTACTGATGCTTCCTGTCTTAAGGGAGTTGTAAGTTTAGAATTAAAAAAGATAACATGTTGGTTTTGTACAAATAAGCTATCTATAATGTTAAGAAATCTATATATATCATATTCCGACCGAGACATAACAGGCAAGCGCTTGATCTAGCTTTAATAATGATAATAATAATAATAAATAAATCACTATAACTTAGCCCTCCTCCCCTTCATAAGCTTCTTAAAGGTTGCAATATCCCCAGCTTCTCTGTAACATGATTCTAATCATTCCAATCATTTTAGCAAAATTAATTGATGTCCAATGGTCCCATTTGCGCTTTGCAGCAGTCTTACATATGTTAACTTAGATCTGGAATTATACCCATGAAAATCTTGATGAATGTCTTGGATCAAACCTATGTGGGAAAAGGTTGTTCCTACAATAATTAACATTATTATTCCTCGAGCCTGAATGGGCTCTGAATCAATAGCCCATGAGGCCGCTATTGACTCAGAGGCCATGAGGGCGAGAGGAATAATAATTGTTTTAGAAAAAAAATCCAACTAGTTGGTCAAACATATCGTGACAAAACAACTTTAGCTATATGTTAAAACTAGACTTTAATCCTTTTTTGCCACCAACAAGTCAGCACTTTTTGCTACTGGTAGGCTATAACATATAGGCTAGTAGAAGCTCAACCAATCAGAACGTAGCATTGATAATAGACCACTAGTTGGATTTTACTAATAAATGAATATTAAATGATGCAACTTCCTTTTAATCTTGAGATTTACCCAGGGAAGCCTCTCTAAGGCAACTCTTGCAGTTGATCTATATTAGAGAGTCTAATTAAAATGATATGTGCAGCTTTGTTCTGTGATACTTGTAAATCTGACATTACAGTCTCATTACCCCAATACCCAATACCTAATGTCAGCATAGTCAAACAAGGGCATTTAGTATAAGAATTAAAAAATAAAATCCTACAATGAATAATTCATTGTGGGATTTTGGCAAATAATTCTTAATATGCTTTAGCAACCCTAGCTTTCTGTTGATGGCCCTCCATGTATAAGCCCCTCCAAATATAAGCCCCCCAAACCGGTAACACAAAAAAACCTCCGTTAAATCGCCCCTCCAAATATAAGCCCCCTGGGGGCTTGTTCTTGGAAAACTGCTGGCAAATACAAAGTAAAACAAAGCTAAAAATAAAATGGTAAATTTACTTCCAACTATAAGGCTAGCCCAATCAATTTTGAAATGCAAAAATCCCTCCGTAGATAAGCCCCTCGGAAGATAAGCCCCTCCGAATATAAGCCCCTCCAAAAATAAGCCCCTCAAAAAGGGCCTTTGAAAAATATAAGCCCCGGGGCTTATTTTCAGAATTTTACGGTATATATAGTCAATACAGTGTATGTTCATGCCATGTTAAGTTCGTATTGATGACTACACCAAGATGCTTGTTACTCTGTACTTCCTCCAAGGGGACATATTCAGTAGAAAACACCAGAGTTTAACCCATTAGCTCCTGGAGATTTAGACAAAAAATGCAACTTGAAGCTAGTCAAGCAGTTCTCTGGGCACTGTTGGGCTATAAAGGGCTAACACTTACCACAAAGCCGTTTACAGGTCGTACACTTCGCAGCCTTCTGATCCAGATGCAAAATATTAGCTTGCGAAGTTCGGGCATGTGCAGAAAGCAAAATTTCAAGATAGTTGTTGGGTTAAAAAGTGACACAGCAGTCTTCTGGGCATTGAGTAGGCTTCATTTTGTGAGAAAAGGTTTTAGGAAAGCTTTTAGGATCTTAGGATTAGGTAGATGAAAGGAAAGATAGGTGGGTAGTGGAACAAGATTTTCATGGAAACTTTCAGGTCAAATTACATGTTTTTTTGCCTTTTTCTCTGGTGTCCTTGACTGAATTGTGCTCATTTTATTATGGTTTGAAAGATCTCTTTACTCTGCACAAGTCAGCAGACAAAGTTGTCCTTGACCATTAAAACTGATGACGTCACAGGCAGTAGAAAGAACGTGGATCCGCACGGGCGGTTACAGGCGGCTCAGGGGCAAATGGGCTAATATTAGAAATATTTTATTATTTGATTGATCCTGTTACAGCATGGAGCCCAAAAGTGTGACCGCTTTTGATGTATTCACATTCTTTAGTACAGATTTAATCCAATCAGAAGCCAGCGGGAAACTGTCCTCGACTTCTGATTGGTTGATGTCTGCATGAAAGAATGTGAGTTAATAAGGAGGTCACACTTTTTGGGTCCTTGCTGTGGAAGCTACTTTTCTTGGTGTAATTTTGGATGAGCATTTAACATGGAAATCACTTATTAATAATGTTGCAAGGAAAGTGTCTAAAGCCATAGGTATAATTTATAAATCAAGTTTTTGCCTTAATAATCAATTCCTCCTTATGGACACTTGATTATAGCCTTATCTACCGGGACACTTATTCTACTGCGTGAGTGTCTTGGTATTGACCTATCACATCCTCTCAGTTCTACTTTCAAGAAGTTACATATAAAAGGGTAGTTAAGCATTGGCATTACTTTTGCATTCTTCTCCTTGAGTCTCGTTGTCATTTATAAAGCATTAACCCTTCATTTTAAACGCTTTCCCGTAGGTCAGTTTCTTCGTATGTTAACAAGTGATGTTTCGTTCCTAAATTCAAGACCACTAACATTACTACCGTAGTTGGGCAGTTAAGTCTTGCCATATTATATCCCGCAATTTTCCGTACATTAGGCTTGTTTTTGGCTTAAATACTTTTATTTTTCAGCAAACCATATTAACATTATGTTTATGATGCTTTTTCACACATTCATTGTCCGCCTTTCTTTCTTTCTTTCTTTAACTAAATCAGGGTTTACAATTGATTTTACAGCTCATTTTAATTCATTTGGACCATAATAGGGATTGTCCTTTCCACATTTTTAACATTTCTAAAGTATCGTTGTGATTTAACACTTCACTGGCCAACATGTGCCTTGTCTGCGTGAAGATAAGATTGCGCATAACATGACCGGTGCCTACCTGTCATTTATTTCAGACCCAGACCTTACATGTATTCCCATTTAATTTGGCGGTCACTAAAAAAACCCTCCAACGAGCCTTTACATTAAGTAAAAACTTATTATTTTAGTCTCTCAGAAAGTTGTAGTTTTCTTTAATAAAGTCGTCATTATCATAAAACCGCTAATGATAGCTCTACTCTTGATGATAATTGCTTATTTGGGGCAGTAATGCTTTTTGGAAAACGGTGGAAGTTGCACTTCAAAAACTTCTTGGGGGGAGGGGGACTCCATGACTGCGTGCGACTTTCCCGCCTACTAACAACAAATACCCGGCAACTTGAAATCTTAGTGACAACCCTGATAATAAATACTGTTACAAACCATACTTTTCTCTGAAGGGTAAATAGTTCAAGCGAACCACCTTTACATTTCAAAGGAGTAAAACTTTCAAAAATAAGAAATTTTGGGAAAAGTATGCTGGAGTTGCTGCAATTGATTTTTATGTAACCATTTAGGCTATCTGTGTCAGGGGGGAGGATTGGCAATGGCATATCACCAAAGGATTTTACTAGACAGTAGAGAGACATGCCACCTGGTTGATGGATGTTTGAATGTATGAATTACAAAAAAAAAGTGAATGTTAAACTCCAAAAAAGAATATAAAATATGTGATGACCAGCAATACATGAGCATAGCACAAAGACAGGGTCGGCCAGGGGGGGTAGTGTTATACCAGTATACCCGAAAAAAATTCGCCAAAATACCCAAAATTCATCCAAATATACCCAAAATTATACCCAGGTATACTTTATACCTGAAATTCAAAGCAAGTGAGATACCGAATACCCGTATTTAAGCTGCAATATACCGTATACCCGATTTAAAAAGCCCCTGCATACCGTATACCCAAAAACCCTGGCCGACCCTGCAAAGAAGAAATATTGAGTCCCCCTGAACAGAATTCAAGCCTGTGGCCTCCCAAACTCAGGGTAACACTCAATCCACTGTGTTGCTGAGAGACTCATGCAGAGCAAGGCTGTATACTAGGTTAATATTTGACAAATGTCCACTGCATACTGCTCAGATCAGCAGTGTCCAGAGTGCAGTGTACTGTGAAAAAAAAAAGGAAGATGGAATTTAACCATTTTTTTTTTTTCTTTTCTTTTCCAGGATGGGACGAGGGTGTAGCACAGGTACAAATAATTATGCGTTAATAATTGGTAATTATTTTCCCTGTCCTGTTTCAGACCTGAAATTTTGTTCTCCAGAGAGGTATGATTAAAAAAATTCCAGAAATCACAAATTTCAGACCTGAATGATTAAAATTTATGCCTTATTTCAGACTTACTGGGGTCAAAAACCACACTCTTTGATACTGCACCTACCTACTTATTAGTTTCAGTGTTTTCCAGAACTACCGATGATCGACCAAAATTGCCATCCAGTAGTCATGGAAGCACTGGCAACTCATAGAAAACAAATGCAAGTAGTAATAATATTTCATGATTTTTGGAAAATCACAAAAATTAATTTGATGTTGCAAATATCATGTGCAAATATTTGTGGGTGTGACAATTAGTAGCCATGCACATAGGCTTAAAGTCCATTTATTCATTTTGACCATTGCCATCATCAATCCTCTCTGCCTCAAGGTCTTTGAATACTTTTTTCATACAGTCTTTGAAAATAAGGGGCTTCCTTTTTATTGGGTTGAACTGAAGACTTTCCTTTCAATGGCTTGTATGTTCTGATACAAACTAGTCTGGTTTACTTTCTTTGTCAAGTCAGTGTAAAGGTGTAAATGTGACTTTTTATGTATTTATAAAGGAAATCATGAAAATTACGCGACTCAGTTTTTACATATTTAGCAAAATTACAAAATGAAATTGTCACAAAAATATGACCATCCCCACTTCATGAAATTAAATTCTGATGGGGTAGGCACAGAAGGGGGTATCGTCCCTCTTCTGTCAGAGGAATCTTGGCTTTTGGGGGACCTGCAAAGTGCATGTCGATGCATTTCAGTGCATCGTGCAACTAAGAAAAATATTAGCCATGAAGATTGCACCTTTATTTTAATACTTATATCATAGGTTTGTTTTCATCCAACAAAGTATTGAGAAATGACTACATCAGATTTATCATCAAAAAGAGGGATTTTTTTAAAACTTTTTGGCTGTAAAAAAATTGAGATGTATTTTTCTTATAAACATTTAAGACGTTAAAAAACATGACAACGTTTCTACCTTCTTGGACATCCTTACATTATCAAGTCATAAGAAAATAGCATATGAATGTTCTATAAATACAAGAAAAAACGATTAGTGATTAAAAAGAAAAGTAACTTATCAAAATATGTTACAAGTTAAACACAGAGTTTCACACTGATGGAGTCACTCTGAGTATTAAGACTGGGCCAAAGCTCCTTGATGTATACCATTTTGTAAATAAGGCCATGAACCCTGCCCATCACACTCACTGAAATTCATTGGGTGACATGTCTCAAAGCAGTTATGGATGTGGTGTTTGGAGGATAGGTGTAGATTGTAAAAGAATACTTAATTGACAAGGAAGACACCTTCTGGAAGACCACTTACAGCAGTGGTTGAGAGGCACACACAGAACAAGAACTGTAATGAAGGACTTGCCTGTGGGAAAAACACACATACACGTAGCTAGGCTATTCCAATTTTGGGTTTCAACCTAGACTGCATGAAAAAAGAGTCAATTCTTTGATTTGTTTCTTTCTTGTTTAGATGAAAGTTGGTGAACGTGCCTTTCTAATATGTCCTCCTGAATATGGTTATGGACCAAGTGGTGTTCGTGGTGTATATCCTTTTCAATACTGTCTGTTTCTTAAAGCAAAACCATTGTTTTATTGCGTGGTGTACTGAAAAGGCTCTGAGATTTTTTACAGTTGCCAATAATCCTCTTTGGCCATCTGTTCAGTTTTAGTCAATTCAACACACAGAGAGATCTGGCTGTTCGATGCTCCAAAGTAGATTTTCCCTCAAATTTCCGTATCTTGCTCAACCCATTCATTCACCCCTGGAAATTTTGCCAAAAATGCCAGTTGAGCCTTTCTCATCCAGTGAGTGAGTGGGCTTATTGAATTTAAAAAAATTAGGGTAAGCTGCTTTTTCAACCAGAAGATGATTTCNGGGGGGGGGGGGGGGGGGCGCTTAGTTGAGAGGGTTAAGGTTAATAGAGGATTTAAGGTTATTGCACTCTCAAATTGGAGAAAAATGATGGTTTGAGGACCACTGTTACTTGATTGTCCTTAACCATTTTTAATATCCCGCCAAATGCTACTTTACATTTTGATGTGGAGCTGTTAAGCATCAAGTAATACGAAAGTTAAAAGAGAGCAATGTGTAATATCATCGCTGTCAACTGACTTAATGTTAATCTATCCAAAAAAAATTAATGTATCACTTTGATTTATTCTGTTAACAGGATAATTAAGGCTGTTCATAAGGGGTTAGTTAGTCTCATTTCAAGAATTTTCTATTTAATGTAATGGGTTATGTTTACAGTAACTGTTAAGTTTTTTAGGGGAGACCAAAGGCCATTTTTAATGGTTGGTTGAGATGAAAGGAGCCCTGCGTTGTAAACTGCATTTTTGTTTGTATGTTTGTTTGTTTTTCTTTTTTTGCAATAAAGATCTGGCAGACAGAATTGTGATAGAATATCTTGGTTTTCCTTCTTTAAAGCTTTCTGTTAAAATAAGAGATGGCAGTATTAGGCTTTAATGAAAAAGTCTGAATTCCTGACAAGAAACCACTGATCATTGACATCCACGTACCAACTAAAAACTGGCTTTGATTTCTGTCTGAGAATCAAAGCGTCAACCTTTATCATATCATATGACCTTCTACCACCTTTCTTTCCTTCTTTCGCGAAAAGAAGTTCTCGCGGAAGTTATATTAAGCCGCGAAATTTAATACCCTGCTATGCTTGTGTTGCTCATTTGTTATTGGGCTGCCTGTGGCCCAAAAAAATTAGTGTAGGTTGAAGAAAGACGAAATGGCGGACGGATCTCCCAGAAAGCATTGCGTGACCCATTCCCTCAGCAGTGGGCCGATTTTTGAAGGAGAGGAGAAGGGTTATTTTTAGATAAAGTGACTCAGACAGACCAATATCGTCAATTAAAGGCGTTTTGTCTACATTTACCCTGAGTATGATGCAATATAGCCTTTTTTGACGAAGTTTGCGAGCGGGAGCGAAACAAACGGTTGACCCCATTTCGCTGGCGGTCAATAATTCCCCGCGGTTTTTTTATACCTGCGCTCGATAATTTCTATCGCGAAAATAAAGGAAGTAGAGAAGTACTGGCCGATCACAATTTTACCAACTCTTCGCAAGCTGTTTGAGAAATTACTGGGAAAGCAGTTTACGAAACTTGGCAAAAGCTTGATAGTTTATCGATAGAACAATAGGTGCGATCACGGCCACATTCCTGATACTAGTTGAGAAATTGAAGATGGACCTGAAGAGTAGACTATGTAGTTGCCGGAGTTAGTCACATACGGACTAAGCAGCCCTCAACCCCAACCTTCTACGGTACTTCTCTCTTAGACTAAACAGGGTCAAGCTGTTATCTGTGACGAGTCAAAAAGGAGGTTGTCCTTAAGTACCTTTGCACTTCTTTTCTATGAGCGTCACTCCTATAAACCCTAGGTGAGTCACCCTACCATCACGTGTCGTACAGTTTCACGCCCCGCCCACCCTACCCGCCTCGGCGCTTTGGGTGTGCAGACATAGTGGATATACTTATCCCCTTCCCCTGTCTACCCCAACCCCTTGCCCCCAAAATCAATGTTGAATTTTGGACCCTCAAGTCTTTTTTTTACTTCAGACAACATTGATTCGGGGGGTCGGGGGATTTATGGCGTTTAAAAGGAATGAAATAATAAATGAATGAAATGTTTGTTAAAAGCACCCATTTTAAACAACTGTGTCAACTACTTTTGTCCCTCATTGTAGCTTTAATAATAATAATAATAATAATAATAAATAAATCTTTATTCAGGAAGCCTACTTCACTTTAGTGTTTTACAATGGGGTCCTGAGAAAATGAAATAAATAAATAAATATAAATGTGAAAAAAATAGATAAACAACTATAAAATACTAAAAACTAAATGTCTTCCCTCTATCCAACAATACCTAAGCATGCAATTTGAGAATATTATTAACAGGTTTAAGTGATATTAAAGCTACTATATATAAATCACTATAACTTAGCCCTCCTCCCCTTCATATAAGCTTCTTAAAGGTTGCAATATCCCCAGCTTCTCTGTAACATGATTCTAATCATTCCAATCATTACTAGCAAAATTAATTGATGTCCAATGGTCCGATTTGCGCTTTGCAGCAGTCTTACGTATGTTAACTTAGATCTGGAATTATACCCATGAAAATCTTGATGAATATCTTGGATCAAACCTATGTGAGAAAAGGTTGTTCCTACATTAATTAACATTATTATTCCTCGAGCCCAAATGGGCTCTGAATCAATAGCCCATGAGGCCGCTATTGACTCAGAGGCCATGAGGGCGAGAGGAATAATAATCGTTTTAGTAAAATCCAACTAGTTGGTCAAACATATCGTGACAAAACAACTTTAGCTATATGTTAAAACTAGACTTTAATCCTTTTTTGCCACCAACAAGTCAGCGCTTTTCGCTACTAGTAGGCTATAACATATAGCCTAGTAGTAGCTCAACCAATCAGAACGTAGCATTGATAATAGACCACTAGTTGGATTTTACTAATAAATGAATATTAAATGATACAACTTTCTTCTAATCTTGAGATTTACCCAGGAAAGCCTCTCTAAGGCAACTCTTGCAGATGATCTATATTAGAGAGGTCTAATTAAAATGATATAAGCAGCTTTGTTCTGTGATACTTGTAAATCTGACATTACAGTCTCATTACCCCAATACGCAATACCCAATGTCAGCATAGTCAAACAAGGGCAAAGTATAAGAATTAAAAAATAAAATCCTACAATGAATTGGCAAATAATTCTTAATACGGTTTAGCAACCCTAGCTTTCTGTTGATTTTAGATTTAATATGTAGAAATTCCGAAAATAAGCCCCTCCATGTATAAGCCCCTCCAAAATATAAGCCCCCCAAACCGGTAACACAAAAAAACCTCCGTTAAATCGCCCCTCCAGATATAAGCCCCCTGGGGGCTTGTTCTTGGAAAACTGCTGTCAAATACAAAGTAAAACAAAGCTAAAACGGTAAATTTACTTCCAACTATAAGGCTAGCCCAATCGATTTTGAAATGCAAAAATCCCTCCGTAGATAAGCCCCTCCGAATATAAGCCCCTCCAAAAATAAGCCCCTCAAAAAGGGCCTTTGAAAAATATAAGCCCCTGGGCTTATTTTCAGAATTTTACGGTATGTATAGTCAATTCAGTGTATGTTCATGCCATGTTAAGTTCGTATTGATGACTACACCAAGGTGCTTGTTACTCTGTACTTCCTACAAGGGGACAGCTTCAGTAGAAAACACCAGAGTTTTACCCATTAGCTCTTGGAGATTTAGACAAAAAATGCAACTTGAAGCTAGTCAAGCAGTTTTCTGGGCACTGTTGTGCTATAAAGGGCTAACACTTACCACAAAGCCGTTTACAGGTCGTACACTTCGCAGCCTTCTGATCCAGATGCAAAATATTAGCTTGCGAAGTTTGGGCATGTGCAGAAAGCAAAATTTCGAGGTATTTATTTCTGGGCATTTAGTAGGCTTCTTTTTGGTGGGAAAAGCTTTAAGGAAAGCTTTTAGGATCTTAGGATTAGGTAAATGAAAGGAAAGGTAGGTGGGTAGTGAAACAAGATTTTCATGGAAACTTTCAGGTCAAATTACATGTTTTTTTGCCTTTTTCTCTGGTGTCCTTGACTGAATTGTGCTCATTTTATTATGGTTTGAAAGATCTCTTTACTCTGCACAANAACAAGATTTTCATGGAAACTTTCAGGTCAAATTACATGTTTTTTTGCCTTTTTCTCTGGTGTCCTTGACTGAATTGTGCTCATTTTATTATGGTTTGAAAGATCTCTTTACTCTGCACAAGTCGGCAGACAAAGTTGTCCTTGACCATTAAAACTGATGACGTCACAGGCAGTAGAAAGAACGTGGATCGGCACGGGCGGTTACGGGCGGCTCAGGGGCAAATGGGCTAATATTAGAAATATTTTATTATTTGATTGATCCTGTTACAGCATGGAGCCCAAGAGTGTGACCGCTTTTGATGTATTCACATTCTTTAGTACAGATTTAATCCAATCAGAAGCCAGCTGGAAACTATCCTCGACTTCTGATTGGTTAATGTCTGGGTGAAAGAATGTGAGTTAATAAGGAGGTCACACTTTTTGGCTCCTTGCTGTGGAAGGTACTTTTCTTGGTGTTAATTTTGGATGAACATTTAACATGGAAATCACTTATACATAATGTTGCAAGGAAAGTGTCTAAAGCCATAGGTATAATTTATAAATCAAGTTTTTGCCTTAATAATCAATTCCTCCTTATGGACACTTTATTATAACCTTATCTACCGGGATACTTATTCTACTGCGTGAGTGTCTTGGTATTGACCTATCACATCCTCTCAGTTCTACTTTCAAGAAGTTATATATAAAAGGGTAGTTAAGCGTTGGCATTACTTTTGCATTCTTCTCCTTGAGTCTCGTTGTCGTTTATAAAGCATTAGCCCTTTATTTTAAACGCTTTCCCGTAGGTCAGTTTCTTCATATGTTAACAAGTGATGTTTCGTTCCTAAATTCAAGACCACTAACATTACTACCGTAGTTGTGCAGTTAAGT